CATAGACATTGACTAAGAGGGTGAACAGAAACTGTGAATCATAGACATTGACTAAGATGGTAGACAGAAACTGTAAATCATAGACTTTGACTAAGATGGTAGACAGAAACTGTAAATCATAGACATTGACTAAGAGGGTAGACAGAAACTGTAAATCATAGACATTGACTAAGAGGGTAGACAGAAACTGTGAATCATAGACATTGACTAAGAGGTTAGACAGAAACTGTAAATCATAGACATTGACTAAGAGGTTAGACAGAAACTGTGGGTCATAGTTTTATGATTTCTTGTCATTTATTCTTTCTACTATGTACATTAAAAAAAAAATGTTTACTAATGTAGTTATTGGATTATAATAAGAATACTTCTACTTAGAGTCCATGCCGTGTGTTGTTGGGAGTCATGTCTATCCAGAACCTTGTGTCTCATGTACTTTCAGTCAACTCTACACAGATGATCTTCCATGCCATGATGTCAAACTATCCAGCATCTGTTCTCTCAGTCTCCCTCTGCCTCTCCTCTGCTCCAACTTTCCTACTGGCACAAAGTTCTCCAGTTTTCTTCTTCTGATCACATGACCAAAGAATGTAGATTGTCTCCCCCTGATGTGGGCAATCAGTTCTCTTTGTTAGTCGGTTTATTTCAAGAAATCTTCATTACTCTTTTTATCTGTCCAGAGTATTCTCATCATTGGTCTATAAAACCACATATCCACAGCTTTAAAAAAAAAAGTTGAAATTTACTAACTATCCATGATCCATATCCCTATATCAATATAGGATTTGTATAACTTTTAAGAATCCTCTTTTTCGTCTCAGTTGACTAAAAAAGATTGCATAAAATATTCTTCATTTTGTAAAAGTCTGCCTTTGCTTGAGCTATTCGACATTTAACTTTCTTAATACATCTTCTATCTGATGTTATCAGGGTACCCAAGCACTTAAAGATATCAGCTTGCTTGAGGTTTGTGCCATTTACTTTGGTGTTGCATTTTGGAGGGTCAGTTTTCTTTGTAATTACTATTACATCTGTTTTTCTGCTGTTCAAACTAAGACCCCTGTTTTTACTTTCAGTTACAGTTAGAATATGTGTCTATAATTCCATGTAGCCTCCAGTGGACACATGTTGTTAGTATCTTTCTATCTTTTTAGACGATAGTGTCTGAGCTATAGCGAGGCATGAAAGTCACAGTAATTTACTGATTATTTTTTTGGGGTCTGAAATCTCCAGGTTCGCTGGCAGAAAGATGATGCTGACAACAACAAGAACTTTTACTCAATATCTTCAGATGGTCGCATTTGTCTGTGGACAATCTTGAAAGTAAGTTCAGATAAAAATTTCAAAAATTAAAATAATAGTTTTATAGAGGTATTGCTGTTATCACAGAAAATGTGTAATTGTAAAGTTTGGAGCCATGGTGGCATAAGGGTATATGCATTTGCCAGATTCAGTCCCTAGAAGTGATACAATTATTTTCTAACTAGCACAGTTTTGATGTTGACAAAAGTTTATAAAAATTAGTTTAAGATATTTTTTTTTAATTTTGAGATATCTAGAAAGGAAAAGTAATGAGAAAGTGAACTGGGCCCTTTATCTGATATGCTATGTTATAAAATATGTAAAGGTTCTAGATTGTATGAAGATCTCATATTTCTTACCCCCCAGTGCTAGTATCTGCCATGCCTACCCCTTTTCCCTTGGAATTTATAATTAAAACACAGTTTGTATTTTTCTTTTAAACCATAAATTTATATAAATTTATACATAAAAATTAGTTGTGTATCCTTTACAGAATGTTGCAGAACCAACCCCAGCAAATTTATACATAAGAAAAGTAAAAAACTAAATTAATGGCCAATTTCCATACTATAAGTGATATTGATATAGGCTGCTGGCCAAATATTCCTAATCCTTTCAGTCCCAAACTGTTGCTACTTTAATTCCTTCTTCCTCAAGGAGTTGAGATTGAAAGCAATAAATACTTTCGTTTGACACAGTGGGACAGAAGTTAAACATTCAGTCGATAGCCCGTATTATGCTAGCCGACCTTACTAGAACATTTTTAGGTGCCCATTTTAAACTGGGTCAGTTTAGGGGTCCAGTGACTTGTACAAGTCTGCCTCGATGGAAATTTGAACCTACGACTACTAGGTTAACAGTAAGAGACAGAGACAGGATCATTAAAAACCTAAAATGTGTTTGTTGTTGAAATAAATATCTTCTTTTTTCTTCTTCTTCTGCCTTCTCCTTGAGAAGAGTGGTTGGCATTTTATGACTAGGCTGAGAGTTCTTCACTTTTTTGGCCCAACACATCTGATTTTAACACATCTTTAATAAATTGTTTTATGACGTGCTTGTTAAAGGGCAGCGGGTCTGTTCTTTCCCTATTCCCCATCCCCCAAAATGGGGCCCCATTACACCCATAGGTGAGAAATAAATGAGTTTCTTGAACATGGAAGGTCTGGGCAATACGGTCAAAACAGCTTGGTTATATCTAAGATGTAATAATAAATTCTTTTGGGTTTTCCTTTAAGAAAGCTATGAAGCATATTATGTTATTTTCTCGATAGTAAATATTCACATTATAACAAAATAAATACATTTCTCTAAAAACTTAATGTATGTATCAACATCCTCCTAGCATACACCAGTAATTTCTGCCATTTTTGTTTCCAGTATTATTTATTTCTTTTATTTTCTTTGTGACTTACTATGGCCTCAAGAAGGTGACTATAAATTGTCTTTTTATTTTTTTTACTTTCGATTTTGTTATTAGTACTGATTCTTTCATTACTCAATGCAGAATGAATTAATTTTCCAAGATGTCATCAGGCTGAGTTTGCCTGATATGACAGCAGAAGGCCCTGATGGTATCAAAGTTCCTACAACAGGTTTGTATGATTTTGGGTCAACAAATACATTTTAGTTACAGTATGCACCCTGGCTTTAGCTGAATCACCTTCATGTTCTTAAATCTTTTCTCAAGCATCGCATTAATTATGCATGGATATCTATGTTCTTTGGTTAAGGATTGCATTCATTGCCTCCTTCTAGTCCTTAACATGTAGACAGACTGGTTCAGATATAAAGGTAAAGGACCCTTTTCCACAACTTTGAGGGCATATAGGGCTAGACTGATATTTCATAAACCAATAAGCATTTGGTGGGTGATATGGTCAGCACCGTGCTGGTCACCTTTACTTCCCATTACTGCGCCTAGTACCCACTCAAGGCTGGGTCAATCTGGGAGTAAGTCATTTTGTTTTAGAAAGTCCGGCAGGGCCCGAACACACGACCTTCGATCCACGGGCTAGCGGATTGTGAAATACTGAGTGGTAAATTCATACATGACAAGCTAGATGTGGTTAAGGCCATTTGGCAGCAATCAAACAAATAAGTAATTACTGTCTGAAGAGAATAATACAACAGGAAGCAACCAGGGGATCTGGCTGACGCTTTATGCTTACAGAAAGGCAAGATGGACACACACATTCATACTGCTACTGGTGCAGTTGGGACTGGAACTCTGCACAGACTGCAGAAGAGGGAAATGTCCCATGTGCTGTGATCTCGTCTCATCTCATCATGATCCTCTGGTACCTTGCTGTGTCAGGGTGAAGTATAATGTACGGGAAAGTGCCTGTTTGTGCGCTTTGTAAATTGGGATTCCCAGGGACTCTGTTATTCCCTCTGTTCATTGTATTGTAAGGTCGGCCTCTTCTTCACTTCCCGCATGGTCTGTAACATCAATGGTCTGTAACCATTTTACCTGTTGTCTTCTAATGAAATCCAGAGCTTCTAATGAAATCTAGAGCTGCTGCTACCCCCATTCTACTTCAGACTTCATGTTCCTGATCTTATGTCTTATTTTTATATTGAGAGCCCCTCACAGGAATGTCATTTCAGTTGTTGTAATTTTTTTCTCTTTTTTTGGGGGGGGTTGGGGGGGGGGGGGGGGGGGGTCATTTTCTAAGTCTGGCATTGGTAGCACAGGGTTGGCAAGAAGATTGTTTCATAGAGTGCTCTTATGGGTTCTGCTGACTTATGTTTGTTTCTTAGTATTGGTGACATTTGCCCAATAAGTTGGTTTGCTCTGTCATATCTGTCATCAATCTCATCTTCTGTTTTGCCAGCTGATGATATTATGCTTTCTAAGTATTTGAAGTTTCTTTTTGTTTCAGATTGCTTTAGTGCTATGATATAAATTCTTAACTTAAATGTAGTCCCACAATAAATATTGCCATTAGGGTGGGCAATGCTAGCTCTTTAAACATTCTTGACCTTAACAGATGATGTGGGAGTGGCTAGTGCTCTCCCTTGTCATGTTTCTTTCACAGACGTCCTGTAAAATAATGGAAATTATTTGGTACCCTTATTTGAGTGGTCCCGAAATCTCAGCCACTTATTGTGGGAGGGTATTCTTAATGCTAGCTGGTGTTGCTAGTCACACTTGTGTCACCATGGGCTGTGAGCACCATGTCTGCCTATAGCACAATAGAACACTGTTGTCCGGAAAAACGTCAGCGTTCAACAGTATTTATGAGATTAAGTTGGCTGCAGTGTCAGAAATAAACATCCTACTACGTCTGGATTTGAGTCTAGACCACTGTCTTGGCAGGCAAGTGCACTAATCGCTATTTCTCATTTATATCTGAAACAAACTTTGTATACTGTGGTAGATACATGCAGTTTTTTCTTTTTTTAATTTAAATATTGTATATCCCTGTGTAGATTCCAGGGCCCATTGTGAGGGGGGGGGGAAGCCCCTCCTCCCTCCCACCAGTAAGTATGTCATAAGAAGCAACTTCTTCTTCTCCTGCCTTTCTATCCCCCAATGGTGCATAGGCCCTCAACCAACTCACGCCAAGTCGTTCTATCCTTCGCCATTACATGGAGCTCTCCCCATGTCCTCCCAATCTTTCTAACCTCATTCTTAAGCTCTCTTCTCCATGTGTTTTTTGGCCTTCCTTTATTCCTATGCCCCTGTGGGTTCCAATGCAAAGACATTCTAGTTATGCTGTTCTCCTGTTTTCTCAGTGTGTGCCCTATCCAACGCCAGCGTCTTTTCCTCACCTCCTGATCCACTGGAGCCTGTTTAGTTCTCTCCCAAAGTTCTACATTAGTTATTCTATCATACCATTTTATTCCCTCTATTCTGCGCAGGCACCAGTTAATGAATGTCTGTAATTTATTAGTAATTGCCTTCGTTGTTCTCCATGTTTCCGCCCCATACAATAGTACTGATTTGACATTAGAATTAAAAATTTTTAGTTTAGTATTTCTTTTAATTTCTTTTGACCTCCACAAATTCCCTAGTGCTATGAAAGCCCCTCTTGCCTTTTGTATTCTTATTTTAATATCTCTATCAGTTCCTCCATCTTTATCTACATTACTGCCTAAATAGGTGTACGACTCCACGTCTTGAAATGGGGTGCCATTAAGAGAAACCACATTACTATTTGCCTGATTTATTCTCATTATCTTTGTCTTTCCTTTATGAATTTTCAGACCAAGCTGCTGTGATCTCGCATTAAGTATATTTAATTTATCTTGTATCTGATTCCGTGAATGGGACAGAAGGGCAATATCATCAGCGAAGTCCAGATCATCAAGCTGTTTTGTAGGGGTCCACTGAATTCCAAGCAACTAATTATGGATAATTCCTTCAAAGTTGGAGTACATTTGCCTGAGAGGTGGGGAACCACAGTCTGCATACAAATAAGCCAGATAGGTAAAACGAATGTGCACACAAAACTCAAGTTCTTTAACAAGACCAAAGTCCAGAAGTGGATGAACAACCTGACTTTCTGCCGGAGTTTACAGCTGGTGAATGCTAAAAAGAAGAAGAATCTGTTTCGTAAAATACTTTCAGATTTCATGAAAATAGTGAAAGAAATTAACATCTTTAATTTGTCTGTGTTTAGGTTGTGGTACAACATTTGATTTCCACCAACACAAAGATTACCTATTTCTTGTGGGTACAGAAGAGGGCAAAGTTCACATCTGTTCAAAAGCGTATACCAGCCATTTCATTGACACAATTGATGCCCATACTATGGCGGTTTACAAGGTAATCAACACACAGAAGTTTTCTGCTTTTGTGGCTGGTTGGTTTTGACATTGGAATTGTAGACAGTTTCAGTAAATAGATTGGTTATTTAATAGTTTGATGATTTTATTTCCTATATTATACAATACTAACTTTTACCACAGATTAACTAGTTTTTGTTTTCTGTGTAAACTAGTGAAAAAATTGACAGTAAAGTGAACAATTATTTTATTATTTCTACTGGGAATTTGTAATTAGAGTACATTGTTAAGCTGCTCTCGGAACACTAAAACTGTTTCTGGAAGTTAGTATTTTTTTGTTTTGTTTCCAGAGTGATTTAAAGCTGAAGACTTCCTTTTCTGTAGACTGAAAAAAAAAAAATCGAAACTGTTACTCTTGTACTTTGAATGACCAAATCATTGTTACAGATTCCATATTTAAAATAAAGAAATGTACCTTATATGGGGGGAAATACTAGAAAAGAGCAACATATGACAGAGAAAGAAAATGGAAAGCTTAATCAGCTAGACAGCAAGTATCAGCTAGGCAGCAAGTATCAGCTAGGCAGCAAGTATCAGCAAGGCAGCAAGTATCAGCTAGGCAGCAAGTATCAGTTAGGCAGCAAGTATCAGCTAGGCGACAAGTATCAGACAGGCAACAAGTATCAGCTAGGCAACAAGTATCAGCTAGGCAGCAAGTATCAGCTAGGCAACAAGTATCAGCTAGGCAACAAGTAACAGCTAGGCAACAAGTATCAGCTAGGCAACAAGTATCAGCTAGGCAACAAGTAACAGCTAGGCAACAAGTATCAGCTAGGCAACAAGTATCAGCTAGGCAACAAGTATCAGCTAGGCAACAAGTATCAGCTAGGCAACAAGTAACAGCTAGGCAACAAGTATCAGCTAGGCAACAAGTATCAGCTAGGCAACAAGTATCAGCTCGGCAACAAGTATCAGCTAGGCAGCAAGTATCAGCTAGGCAGCAAGTATCAGCTAGGCAGCAAGTATCAACTAGGCAGCAAGTATCAGCTAGGCAGCAAGTATCAGCTAGGCAGCAAGTATCAGCTAGGCAACAAGTAGGCAATAATATAGCCAAAAGTAAGCAAAGTAATGCACAATGTAAAGGATCGTTTTCATGCCTCGTTCTCATGGTTTTGGGACAGCAGTACAAGGTTCGCACTGTGGAAGAGATTTGGACCTCACCATGTAATATTTCCAAAGGTGTCAGTGGTACACTGTAGTCAACTTTCATTGTGGAGACGGCAGTTTAAGAAGAATTCATGCCTTTATCACAACAGGCATATAGTGATAGACGTTTATTTTTCAGACCAGTCAGCACTCAACGGGTGAGTGGTCATTGTTACACTGACCGCTTGTATTTACCTAATATCTATTTTAGGTGGGGTCGACCTAGAAGCCAAGGTCATTTCTGAAAAAAAAATCTGCCTTGATGCAGATTTGAACCCTAGTTCTTCAGGTTGTAGATGTACATCTAGCTACATTTGGCTCTCTAAAACAACTTTCAAAATATCAGATGTCCAAGAGGCTTTATGTCTTGACTGCTGATATCTGCTCCAGTCCAAGTAGCCGAAGAAGAAGAAGAAGAAGCAGAAGAAGAATTTAAACAAAACACTTATTATTTCAAATTAATTTACATTTTTATTTTGTAAGACATTACCATACATATTTTCTAAATGCCTTTTATCTCTATTGACTTAATATATTGCCACACAGTGACTTGTGCATTAGGCTTGTATAGAATATCTTAAAAATGTAAACTAACAATTTTAATTTAGAGTCCAGTAACTTAATAATGAATGAATCATCATCATCATGTAGCAGGTCCTTTGCAGAACTTCGCTCTCATCAAAGTCTGCCTGAAAGAAACTCGGTCTCTCGCCAGTTCTCCCACCTCATGTACTTTCATACTCAAGGAGTCACTTATATCCTGTGCCCATCTTCGTGTCGGTCGGTCCCTGCCCCTCCTTCCTGGTACCATGCTTTCTGCTATAATTTTTTTTCCAGTCCGTCGTGGTGCTTGATATGACCAAAATATTTCAGCTTCTGTTACAGAATGCTGTTTATTAGCCAATCTTCCTTGATGTTCAGATCTTTCAAGATGTCAGTATGAATTAATACTACTTAATAATGAAGGACATAGTTAACAGTAAATTACCATGTAATGTTTCAAAATGATATACAATCTGAATCATGAGTGGCATTGCATAATCTGGTGCTATACAATTTGTGCTGGCAAATGTTATTGATTAATTTATATTGTAATTTTCAGGTTTGCTGGAATAAATTTCATCCAAAGATTTTTATCACATGCAGTGCAGACTGGACTGTGAAAATCTGGGAGATGACAGACAAAATGGACAAACATGTTGCTGGGAGTAACAGGTACATTTCTGAAATTACCTTTCATAGAGAAAATTAAATGAGTTTACAGAAGCTATATTAAAAGCAGCCAAAGAAACCATACCTCGGGGTTCAAGGAAAGATTACATCCCATTTTGGTCCCAACAAATTCAAGACCTCCACCAAACTCTCTCAGAAGCAAGAGATAGAGTAGAAAGCAACCCAGTGGTAGAAAACAACATTGATTACAAAGCAGCAGAAGCTAAGCTAAAAAAAGAAACAATCCAAGCAACTAGGAAGAGCTGGAAAGACAAAACCAAGAGCCTAAGTTTTGAAAAAGATGGGTCCAAACTCTGGAAACTAGTCAAGTGTCTAAATAGAGAAGCCCAACAAGCCAATCCAGTAGTAATAAATGAGGGCAATGAGATTAGATCTAGAAACGATGCTGCAAATATCAGTTTAAATCTGCTAGTGATATTATTATAGAATATTCCAGAGAAGATGAGGTAGTACAAAGAATTAAAGAACTCGAGAAAGCCAGCAAGAGTAAACCAGCAGAGAGCATCATGACAGATAAATTCTCAATGAGTGAACTTAACACAGGACTCAACCAGCTGAAATCCAACCAAGCTCCTGGCTCAGATAAAATCACGAATGATATGTTACTACACATGGGTCCAAGTGCCAAAAAGAAATTATTAAACATCTTTAATGCCAGCTGGATTTTTAGTATAGTTCCTCCAGCCTGGAGGAAGTCTGAAATCTTTGTAATCCTGAAACAAGGAACGCCAAAGAACAATGCAGACAGCTACAGACCCATCAGCCTCACTAGCTGTCTGTGCAAACTATTTGAAAGATTATTGAACAACCGATTGACCTGATTCTTAGAGAAAAACTTCAAACTAATGGAGGAACAGGCAGGTTTTCAACGTTGTAGATCAACAGAAGACCAAATTACATTTATTGCTCAACACCGTGAAGATGCATTCCAGGAAGAAAAGCACACTATTGCAGTCTGGGTGGATATGGAAAAGGACTTCGACAAAGTGTGGAAAAATGGGCTGAAACAAAAGCTACTTTAAAGTGGAATATCCCATCACATGCTAGGGTGGATCGTAAAATATCTTGAAAATCGATCTGCAAGAGTCAAGATACAGGGTTCAAGGAGCAGATCAGTCACAATGAAACATGGAGTTCCACAAGGCCGAGTTCTGTCCCCAACTCTTTTTCTAATTTACATTAACGACATAAAATCAACCCTCTGTAATGCAGTTCAAGCTCTTAAGTATGCCGATGATCTGGCGCTGCTGAGTTCAGAGGAGGACACTGGAAAAGCACAGACAAGGCTTCAAGAATCCCTCAGAACTCTAGAGAGGTGGTCCAATAGTTGGTACATGCCTGTAAATGGGGCCAAAACCACACACACACCATTTACAGTCTCTCTACCAAACCCCAGAAAGTTTCACTTACATATTGCAGCCAGGCACTGAAACATGATGACTCACCGTCATATTTAGGAGTAATCTTTGACCCAAGACTCACATGGAGAAAACAGAAAAGATACAGAGCAAGGGACTCAAGAGAACCCAACTGATGAGGAAGTTAGCTGGAACAGACTGGGGAGAAAACCTCAATGTCCTTATGAGGACCTATATACAGGCTATGTGAGGCCAACACTAGAATATGGAATAGCTGCTTGGGGCATAGCAGCTAAATCAAATTTTCAGAAAGTCTCAAAGATCCAATACCATGCTCTCCGTATTATGACAGGGGCAATGCGCTCCACGCCCATATCAGACATGGAAACAATTACTGGTCTCCATGATCTGGAAGATAGGAGAGACACAAAGCTCCTCACCCAGCTCTCCAAATATCACCACTTAAAAGAACAACCCATGCACAGCTGACTGCAGAAACCCCAGAAGGCTAGACTAAAGAGAACCTGTTTTATTAAGAAGGCAAATACCAAGTTCCCTGTCCTTAAACTCCCTCCCATAATACCAAATGTTCCACTTAAACCTTACAACGACTGCCCCCCCCCCCCCCCCCCCCCCCCCCCCTTTGGCTTAGGGAAAGCCTACCAACAGTCAGAACCACTGTAACAGGGATCTCCTCCAAATCATCAATGAGCAGCACTGATATGAAATCAACTACAGAAGGAGAGATCAATACACTTTATCCACACCAGAGTTGGATTCGAGTGTAGACAGATGGTTCAGACAAAAGAGCAGTAAGAGACGGAGGAGGAGGAATATACATAGAATGCCCAAATGGTTTAAAAATCAACCAGGCTGTACCAACAGGTTCATATTCCTCCAATTACAGAGCAGAGGCAGAAGCACTTCTAGCGGCATGTTCTTTCCTGAATGGACAACAGCACAGCAAATATAGCAGAGTGGCCTTTCTGACTGATGCTATGTCAGTTCTACAAGCAATTGTTAACCCAAAAGACACTCAGTTTGTAGACTTGATGCAACAGCTTATTTACTTAGGCTCTTCAGTAGAACAATCTGTACTGCAGTGGATTCCAGGTCACTGTAGCTTGGAAGGCAATGAAATAGCGGACAGATTGGCCAGAAGCGGCAGTGACATGGTACAACCAAATAGCTACTTACCCACCAAGAGACGAAAACATTAATACAATCTAGTATCCAAGAAAGGTGGCTGGATACCCACACCAGATTTTCTCCCCAAGACTCACTTCATCGACTCTCTAGAGAGGGACAGTGTATTATATTAAGACTAAGGACTGGGCACAACAGATTTCGTCAACATATGTTCAAATTTTTCGGTTTAGGAAACACAGAGACGTGTCCCTGCAGCGTGGCACCCGAAAATGCTGAGCATGTGCTCCAATACTGTCAACTGTATGCTGACAACAGAGACGCAATCTGGCCTGTTCCAACCACAATGAAGACAAAACTGTATTGTACACAAGAGGATATGGATTGCACGATAGCTTTCATAAAGGCTACCGGCCTCCTGATATAAGTTTTCTGATAGAAAGATCGAAGAAGAAGAAGAAGATTGCCAACTCTGAAGTGTGCATTTTTATGTACATACCTCATATGTTAAGTATCTGTCTGTGTGTATTTGAGGAAGAGACTGAGTAAGATAGATTAGAGATATAGACTATAACTTGGAAGATTTAAAGTATAATTGTGTAACTAAAGTTCACAGACTGTGTCCTAAATGTCTTAGTATGAAAGCTGTAGCAGTTATACAATTTTCACTGATTGCTAACTCATGATTTATGCTACAGAAATAGTATATCACCTATTTAATTTTATAATGTGTGCATTTTTTAAAAGAAGTTATAATTTTCATTAGGTAATTTTCAGATTGTTTCACTGACTTTAATTTGGCAGGAAGCCCCTTTTTTCCTTTGATCTGAACAACTCTGTAGGAGATGTTGCATGGGCTCCTTATTCCTCTACTGTGTTTGCTGCTGTGACTTCAGATGGAAAGGTAGGGGGCAAACGTACAGTCTGGTCTGAACTTTTAGGGGACATTTGTAAAGTCATGTCTAGTTTATCCCATTGTAGGTTAGGGGACCTCATTTTTTTTTGGGGGGGGGGGGGGAGAATAGACCCCTCTCTCCCTTTCAAGAAGCATTTCATAAAGGTAACTAATTAGCAGTTGGTTTTTTTAATCAGATTTGATGGGCCGAAAGATGCAAATATTGCAGACTGGCTGTAAACCGTAACACAGCATGACAACCACCTTTTAAAGGGTGAATGCAGAAGAAGAAGAAGAATTTCCTGTTTTCTTTTGACATGTAAAAGGCAGTGACATTCCACTTCTTTGTCTTCATTAGCACATTAGCAAGTTACTACAGTCATACCTGCTCCAATTTCTTCCCGTTGATTACAAAAAGAGAATCTAAGTACGTGCACAGTAGTACTGGCAAGGATCAGAATGTGTGTTTCCCTGTGTGGGTTCCGGGGCCCCATTGTGGGGAAACAAGAATAGACCCACTGCCTCCCCAACAAGTACATCATAAGAGTTGACTAATTAGGGGCTTCCTTCAAAGTCGGAGTGCATCTGCCTGAGAGGCAAGGAACCAACAGTCTGTATACAGTTAAGTCAGATCTGTTAATTGGATATGCACACAACACTCAGGTTCTGAAACAAGACCAGAGGTGGACAAACAACCAGAACTTTTCGCCAGAGTTTACAGCCAGTGAACGCAATGAAAAAGAAGAAGAAGAATGTGAGTGTACCAGCATCACACAAACTATTTTGAACATTTTTTGGGGTAGCTGTTTTAAGTAGCAGTGTGTTAACTGACCTAGGTTTTCCTAGTTTCTAGCTACCAAGGAAATTTTAACATGCAAACAAATCCTCTTGAGTTTTTCACCTTTGTTCAGGAAGAAAAGGGCCCTATTTTCCCCAGTGATGCATCTGACATGTGGTCATCATCATTAAGTGCCTTTACCCACTAGTTTGGGCAATGATGCCTCTCCTCAACCCACAATTTGCAACTGCGTGTATCAGTGTGTGTGCTGACACCTATCCATGCCACGACAAAAGGCTATCAAGAATCTGTTGGCGCTGTCTTCCTCTGTCTCTCTTCCTCACATAACTTTGCACACAATTGGAGGATATCAGTTTAGCTGATAATACTATTCTGCTAAGTAAGAACTATGATGGCATGCAAGGAAACACAGATGATTTAGCATATAGCTTCAAAAGTCAAATTACAAACAAGTTATGACAAGACTTGAAGATTAAAGATATTTATAACAAATCAGGAGGAAGTCACACTAGAGATTTAAAAAAAAAAAAAGAATTACAGTAAAATATAACTTTACCTATTTATATAACAATTTTGATTGCTAAGGAACACAAAGAAAAGAAATTATGATACAGTTGGCAAGGCAACAACAGCTTGTAACAGCCTGAAAAAAATGTAACTCTAATTTAAATAGTTTTAAAACCAAGTTAAATATTCCAGTTCTAATTTTATTTAAATTCTTACATATGCCAGCAAAGTTGTAAAGCCACTAAATCCATGAAACAAAAAGTTAAATGCATTCAAAAACAAATGCCTGAGAAAATTTATCAACATTAAGTTGATGAGGTAAAAGATAAAGGTAAAGTTGGGAGATGTGAACCAGCATCATTGCACATGGTTATAAACCATAAGTGCTCTGCCACCAGTAACAGCGAGAAGAAACAGTCCGCCTGTGTCGCCGTTTGCATGCAACTCTGTAGCTACAGCGACGTTCCTCCATTTACCCCAGAGTGTTAACTCTAGTACCCATTCCCAAGAGGCTGGGTAAATCCCAGGAACCACCTGGTTTGAAACACTGTCCATGTGCTGCAGTGAGTCACAGCTGGGTTTGAAAGCGAATCTCCTATCAACTGCGCTAATGAGGAATTCAAGAAAGATCAAGAAATAAGAGAAATGTCTGATATAAACAGTTAAAGACAAGGAAGATGGTGATGTGCACATCCTGAGGAGAATCGAATAGAGAATCACCAGACAGGCACTTGTTGGAATCACATGGATTGCAGAAACAAGGAAGTCCAGAAGAAACCCTAAGACGTACGTTGATGACAGAGCTGAACTGAATTCCATCAGTGATATTGAAAGAATTGCACTGAATATAATTGAATGGAAGGATAAAACTGTAAACCCCAAGGAGTGATGATTTTGGGCTGGGTTGACATGGGAGTCCTATGTCAGTTATTTAAAAAACCTGTGTGAAATAAAATTTGAGACCTTCAAGCCATCAGCCATGGATATAGTTTGTGCTCTACCACCACTGCCTTACAATACTATATTCTCTGTTACTCGACTCCTTCTGTCCCAGCTAATGATTTTGTCAGCTTTGCTTTGACTATACTAAGAAGTGACTATACTATGTATGGAAGACACTATAGTAAAATATACAAGTAAAATATCAAACTCTTTTTCAGATTTTCAAATAACATGTGATTTGAAGCAATGTGATGTCCTGCCCCCAATTCTGTTCAATTTGGCCCTGACTGACTTTCTACCCCACCAGGACATCACACAAGTGATAAACACCCGATGACACAAAGTGCCACCATGTGGATGAGGATCGCCGTGGAGAGGTCCCAGAAACCGCGTTCAGACAATTGGCCATATTTATGGCCTGCCTATATTGCGGCCCCCAGGGTGGGGCTTCAAATAAAAAAAAATTGTGTCCTAAAAAGGACGAAACTGGATAAATTTGGCCCTGGAGAACATTATAAGAAAGGAGAAACAAGATTGTACTATAAGAGAAACTACAAGATTGCTTGATATGCAGATGACATAGTTACAGGTGGAGAAATTGTACTAAAGACAGTGAAACACTGATTCACTTGAAGGAAGCAGCTCAACAATATTAGTTGTTACTTTATCTTATGTCCTTAATAATTTGTCTTACCAACGCTGTCCTAATTTTTTTTTCCTTAAAAATTCTGTCCTAGTTATCTCTCTTTTCCCTCAGACAGTTGATTTGACCCCTTGTTTCTCAGTTATTGTTTTACTTTTTTTTTATAGGCTAGACATGTATTGCTTGAAGAAAAAACACTTATTATGTTCTACCAAGGCTTTTATGGTAAATAAAAATAACACTAGAACCTACTATGCCAGTCATTTGGCAAGCAAAGAATATGAATATCGCTAGATACCTCAACTTATTTAGAAAAAAAAAAATTGCTTACAAAATACTATCCTCGTCGTCCTTATGTGGGATGCAATTTTTAGATAATTTGAAGCCACACCATGGCTTTTTCTGGGGGCCCTTAATACAGCCACGCCTTAAATATGGCCTAATGGGGTATCTGGGACCTCTCCACAGGTCATCCTCATCCGCATGGTGGCACTTTGTGTCACCGGGTGTTTATCGCTTGTGTGATGTCCTGGTGGGGTACAACTCACCTAGCTTACCTACCTGCTTACAAAATCAAACTTATCATATTTTTTAACAAGTTACAAAGAGCGGTATGTGAGGTGGTTGAGGACTGGTGTTCCCTTAGGATATGAAAAGCAGTGAAAAAAGAAACAATTACATCTCATTTATTTTAGGTTAGTTTGATTAGTTATGACTTTGATTAGTTATGACTTGACAAGAACAACAACAAAAATTACATCATAGTTGTTTTGTGTCAACAGGCTTTTGTCTATGATTTAAATGTCAACAAATATGAACCACTCTGTGAACAAATGGTAGCCCAGAAAAAGAAAACCAAACTGACTCATGTTGAGTTCAACCCATCCTCTCCAACTGTCATAGTGGGAGATGACAGGGGAAGTGTTGTGGACCTGAAACTGTCACCAAATCTGAGGAAAATGAAAGCTGTAAGTTTAATTGACAAGTTTGCTATAACCTGGTGACTTCTGTTGTTGCAGCCTGCTTTTCTATAGCCTGGTTGCTTCTCTTTATTATAACCTGCACGTTACTTTTGTGGTTTCTCTTCGCTTTAACCTGCTTGTTTCTTTTTTTGCTGTAACCTGGTGGCTTCTCTCTGCTGTAACCTGCTTGTTTCTTTTTTTACAATGACCTCCTGGTTTATTTTTGCTATAACCTGCTTGTTTCTTTTTTTGCTGTAACCTGGTGGCTTCTCTCTGCTGTAACCTGCTTGTTTCTTTTTTTACAATGACCTCCTGGTTTATTTTTGCTATAACCTGCTTGTTTCTTTTTTGCTGTAACCTGGTGGCTTCTCTCTGCTGTAACCTGCTTGTTTCTTTTTTTACAATGACCTCCTGGTTTATTTTTGCTATAACCTGCTTGTTTCTTTTTTGCTGTAACCTGGTGGTTTCTCTTTGCAGTAACCTGCTTGTTTCTTTTTTACAACGACCTCCTGTTTCTCTTTATAACCTGCTTGTTTCTTTTTTACAATGACCTTCTGGTTTCTCTTTATAACCTGCTTGTTTCTTTTATACAATAACCTAGTGGTTTCTCTTTTCTGTAACCTGCTTGTTTATTTTTTGCTGTAACCTGGTGGTTTCGCTTTGCTGTAACCTACATGTTTCTCTTTGTTGTAACCTGCTTGTTTCTCTTTTGCTATAATGTATATCAAATCAAAATAACAATAGAAGACAGAAGAAACTAGAGTAACCAGTAGAATATCATGAGTTAATGTAACAACAGATATATAATATAAGAGGAGTAACTGTCTTTGGACTCACCAGTGAATGCATGGTCAGTTGCTCATTGCTGAAAGAGTTAAATAAAATTTCTAGTCAATGTCTAACACCTAAACTCATTATCTATAACTGAGTTTCTGTTTAGAACTAATTAATCTGTTCGTTGTGTTTAAGTATAGGGTATACTGCACTGGTCTTGTTCTTTACCTCATGTTTGTTTTTCTCCAAAACAGGAGAAGAAAGGGGCCCCACCGGTTGACGAGGCCACAAAGATTCAGCGAGAAATTGAAAAACTGGACAGAATTCTTTTGATGGTCAGGGAACAGCCCACAGAAATTACAACTAATTAAAATTTTAAAACAGCTGATAGCAATTGTAGATATTTAGGCATAAATTGTATATATTGTGCTTGAATCATCTATTTGTACATTAATTGCATTGGGATAAAGCTTTTTTATCCTGGAGAATGTTAGAGAGAATCTGAAGATATCTAGTGGAGCTCTGGTATTATGTACTCAATTTCTAAAGTCAATTTGTGAACACAAATTAAAGAATAAGCTAACATTTCTTGTGTAAACTGATAATTGCATACATAAGACATAAAACTTAAGATAGGTTAGTTCTGTTTTTGAAAACCTTTACTCACTTTAGTTATAAAATTATAAACAATTGCCAAATATTGTCATCTGCATATCGCTTTGATTTTTTTTTTTTGGCGGGTGGCTGGGGGGGGGGGGGGGGGGGGGGGTTAATATTCTGTGTGTATACTATATGATTTCACCACAGGATATATGCGTGGTGTAATACTTCTTATTAGGAAAAGTTTCAGTTATTTACTTTATCTTATTTCAGTCCTAGTCATCCCCTTTTTGGATGCAATTTTTCGTTATTTGAAGCCCCACCCTGGCTTTAGCTGGGGGCCCTGAATATAGCTGGGCCACAATTGTGCTCATAACGGCAGAAAGAGGTTTCTGGGACCTCTTCTCAGGTGATGCCCATCTGCATGGTGGCACTTTGTATCACTGGGTGTTTATCGCTTGTGTGATGTCCTAGTGGGGCACAAGCAAGCAAGTATTTACATACAGATTGAAAACTGTTAACATTGTACCACAAAAGTAGGGGATAACGCATACATAGATCTAATCATGAACTCAGCTCTTTGCAGTGTGTAACAGCAGGGTGAATAATAATTATTCCATTATCTTTGTTGATCTTTGTTTTCACATTACTATAAAAATCCTTAGAGCCATAATATTTTGGTGGTTTGTGTGCTTGCTTACCAATATGATGGTCTGTAAGTTCAATTCCAGCAGCTGTAGGATTATTGTATCTCTCTCCAGCCAGTATGGCTGTGAGGTTGACTCTGTTTAAATACAATAGGTACTTGAGAATGAGCTAGGAATGATGATATGAGAATTATATGTTATGTCAAGTCAGGATCTAGTCTGCTTCAAAACTGCAGTGGTTGGGGCATATAGAGAGTTTGGCATCTAACACACTCAAAAACTCTATACACAAAAGAGGTGAATGAATGTAGACCATGGAGAAGACCAAAAAGTTGGTGGTGAGATAATATATAGGCAGATCTACAAACAAAAAAGTCATCATATGGAAAGATAAGGCCAGTCACAGAGGGAGATGGGGGATATAGGCAGCAAAGAACTTCAAAAGCTCAGAAGGTTGAAGAAGAAAATGATCTAGTTTTTTTTAAAGTCTGACACCTCATACATGTCCACAAGAGTAGCTGTATTCAGATTTCCTGTCACTGGTTTTAGAAAATCTTCAAATGTCTCAACATTGAATGGATGACAGATTGAAGGAAGTGACTAATAAGTGGGGAAGTAGAGTTTATACTTATCTACAATTTGTAGTTTCAACAAAATTTATGATTGTCTATGCTGCTCTCAGTGTTATTTTTTTTTGTTTCGTTTGCGGAAGTAGAGTTTAAACTTATCTACAATTTGTAGTTTCAACAATATTTATGATTGTCTATGCTGCTGTCAGTGTTATTTTTTTGTTTCATTTGGGGAAGTAGAGTTTATACTTATCTACAATTTGTAGTTTCAACAATATTTTTGATTGTCTATGCTGCTCTCAGTGTTATTTTTTTGTTTCATTTGGGGAAGTAGAGTTTATACTTATCTACAATTTGTAGTTTCAACAATATTTATGATTGTCTATGCTGCTGTCAGTGTTACTTTTGGTTTCATTTGAGGAAGTAGAGTTTTTACTTATCTACAGTTTGTAGTTTCAACAAAATTTATGATTGTCTATGCTGCTGTCAGTGTTATTTTTTTTTTTTTTTTTTGTTTCGTTTGCGTAAGTAGAGTTTATACTTATCTACAATTTGTAGTTTCAACAAAATTTATGATTGTCTATGCTGCTGTCAGTGTTATATTTTATTTCATTTCAGCATGTTTACTTTTCTCTCAAATACACAGCTTCTACATTCCATCATATTTAATAAAACTACAGAATGTGTGCCTATTTCACAGTTTAGACCTACACAAACATGTCAGTCTTTTTCTTTTTAACGTTCACTGGCTGGAAACTCCTGCAGAGTTGTTGCTGTTTATCCACTTCTCCTTCTTCTTCTTGTTCACCAGCTGTGAATTCCGGCGGTAAGTCCCGGTTTTTCGTCCAAATGGAATTTTGGCTTTTACCTTGACCTGAGTTTTGCGTGTACATCCGTTTTACTGGCTTATTTGTTTGCAGTTCTCGTTCCCCACCTCTCCGGCAGATGTACTCCGACTTCGAGGGAGTTTAACCTCTATTGACTTTGGTCTTGTTCCAGAGCTTGTCTTGCATGAAAATCTGTTTTACAGATCTGACTTCTTTGAATGCAGAATGCAGATTCCTTGCCTCTCAGGCAGATGCAATCTGACTTCAAAGGAATGAAAACTTGCCCGTTTATATATTGTAAGGGTACACATTTGGAGACTAAAGAGTGTCTAAAATTTAAGTAACAGACCCTTTTCTATGCCAGTGATTTGTCTGACAAATGATGTAAGACATATTTTATAGACCAATTATCTTTTTTTTTTTATGTTGTGGTCAGTATTATTTCAGCTGGCTTTACTTCCTAGGATATTACTTGATACCAATTTTAGACTGGATCAACCTAAAAGACAAAGTCAGTTAAAAATGAAGTATCCACTTCAGATTATGCAGATTCTTCTTCTTCTTGGCGTTTACTGGCTGTAAACTCAAGCGGAAAGTTTTGGTTGTTCAGCCACTTCTGGAATAAGTTTTGTTCCAGAACTTGAGTGCTATGTGCACGTTCATTTTACAGATATTTTTTGGGGTATGCAGATTGTTGATTCCATGCCTCTTAGGAAACCCCTAATTAGTCGACTAGTACCTCTTACTTGTTAGAGAGGCAGTGGGTCTGTTCTGGTTTTTCCCCACAATGGGGCCCCAGAACCCACACTGAGAAAATGCAGATTTGATCCAAATACGTTTAAGCTAGCCAGAAGGTGAGTATCTAGCCACTTAGCTACTGTGGCTCATGACAATTGCCAAGTAACACCTTTAGACCAGTTTTTAAAAAAAAAGTTACAAAAGGTAGCTCACATTATAACTCTCCGTGACTGCTGTTGTTGAGGACATTTACTTTCAGATCTGAGAGAGTCAGACTTAATCTTGTTAGGCAATATCACCCATCGAGTGCCAACTGGTCTAAATAAATATGAATTAAACACAATATGTCTGGTGTCACTATGGGTCATTTACGTGTACTGATTTTACTTTCCATGCAGAAAAATTACATCTACCTACTGTTTGCAACACTTTAGGGAACCAGTAGTAAAACAAAGAAGAGTCAACAACAAATCATTTTTGTTACATCATGGGTGTATCACTAGGAAAAAACATGGTACTATACATTCTTCTTCTTCTGTGTTCACCCTTAAAAGGGTGGTGGACATGTTCTGTTGGGGTTTACAGCTAGGCTGTAATTTTGACCCAACACATACAATTTCATCACATTCTTAATTAGTTTCTTTTTACAACATGCATATTGAGGAGTGATGGCTTTTAATTTCAGATTTTTTTTTTTAATCAAGCACATGGGGCTCCCTGGAACCAACTTGGCAAGATCCTTACATAAAATGTAAAATGATGAACTGATGGAAACTAGTTCCGGGGTCCTTTGTGGGGAAACAAAACAACAACCCCCCCCCCACCCCCACCCTTTCCCCAAAAAAGCGTGTTGTATGAGTTGACTAATTGGGGAGCTTTCTTTAAAGTCAGAGTGCATCTGCCTGATTCAAGAAACCAGCAGTCTACTCACTAATTAGTCTTTGAAATGTAGAACATAAAATACTGCTGAATATTTCTTGTGTCCATTCCTATTCAAGACAGTGTTGTACTAGCATTCAAGGCTCGTGAAATAATCCTTTCTAAATAGGATCAGAATGACACAGGAAAGCTTGACTAGTAGTAAGTTCTATTGTGTGTGTGTACACATATATGAGATTAGAACTGTGATTCTCCTTCCTCTCATTCAGACTACAAAAGTCAGTGACCTTTTTTTTTCAAAGTTATTTTTGAGGTTTTTCTTAATGTGTGCCTCTCTTTGTTTGCCTTTATCCTTAGCTTTAGCAGTCATTACTCTCTTACACTGCTTTTTAAACACCTACATTTGTCCTCAGTCTAATTACAATTAATGTCCGGTTCCCTCTATTATTATCACAAATATCTTCATACTTTGCATTGTGTGACTTTCTTATTCAGGCATTAAAACAGTTTTTTAATGATTTGCTTGAATTTGTTGTTCATATTTCACAACCATGGACTTCATATAGATTTAATGTCCTTTTTTTTTTTTTAAATAGTAAATTAGAAAAGCACCGCTTTTCACTTCATGTGGGTAATTGAGTGAGAGGTGCTAGCAAAATTTTTTTTTAACACCAATTATTTCCTGATGAACGATGAAGCCAGTTAGATGGGATACATTCCAAAAAGACAAAGAACTAAGAGAAATGTCTAAACAACCACTCATATCAACAGTTATAAGACAAAGAAAATGCGGACAAAGTAACAGATCAATTTTCTTATTTACATAGTAATTTTGATATTAAATAAATAAAAAATAAAAATTCTGACACACACTGGCAAGGCATCAGCAGTTTTTAAAAGCCTTAACAAAATACAAACTCTAAATTGTATAGTTTTAGAACAAAATTACAGATTTTCATATCTAATGTTACTTCAATTTTAACATATGCCATGAAAGTTGGGAGAACCACTAAAGACATGGAACGAAAGTTAAATTGTATTTAAAAACAATATCTCCGGAAAATTATGAACACAAAATGGGGTGAATTTAAGAGGGGTGAAAAAATTAGAA